GTATGCTTCGAGGAACAATAATAAAAATAAATACATGAGGACAAAAAAATAAAATATTTACAAGTTAGAATATTATAACACACATACACGCGCTGGAAAAGTACCGATTTAAATTAAATATTTTTAAAATTAACAAATACATACAAGTTATATTAATTTAATAATAAAAAACATAAAAATAAAATAAATCGAATTATCAATTAGTATCACACTATAAACAAACGTAACGTTTGCATTTTTCACTCGATAATCGACATCACCACGAGATCATAATTATCTATTTATTTTCGTTTATTTATTTTTTATTATTTTCAGACGTATTTTATTATTAAAGAGGGCTCCTAAAAATAGTTAAAAGAAAATCAGTCAAACGCTTGGAGACAAAAAAAAACAGAACAAAAGAATTGCACATCCAAAAAAGTAATATATACATACAATATAATAAAATGTTAAATAAAAAAGTTATAAAATAAAATATAAGCGTAGCCAAAACAGAAATAATAGTAAAACGAACAACAATGCGATAAAAATTATTTTTAAAGCTTAGTAATAGTATTTTATTTGTTTCTGCCCAAGCTCTTCATCTCATGTAGGTTCCCACCTGAAGACCGTAAGTATATATATTAATTTGATGCATCCCAAACCTGTTGCCTAATACATGAAATGGAATGTAACACTGTTCATTATCACATTTCGGGAATATGCATCATTTTATTTAAATGAGATTATCGTCCACTACACCTCAGATGCGATAATAGAAAGCAGCATTTAGGAGCCCAGAATCACAATATAACTTATCAGAAAAAAACACCACGATAATAATTAAATTACATTACTTAGAAATACGTTTTTTAAACTAACACCGTCAACACATCACCACTGGCACTGGTTGGATTTTGTTGTTGCAATGTCCGTTGTTTGTTAATGTTTATAACGCTTTTATTAAAGTCTTTATGAGCTACGGAATCATCGAACGCAGCAGTGTTCTTCCGCACGTCCGGATTTTGTGCTTTGTAAAGTAATATTTGACTGTTACGATGCGCGGGATTCAGCCCGTCGTTTCTTTTAATGTTGTCTCCAACAATTTTTAAACTGTTCGAATCCGTGCTCGGTCCTGGTAGGATGTGCATGGTTCTTCGTGAACCGGGGCAATCGGCTTCGGAGATCATTTCCAGCATTTCGTTGGAGCTGTCGTGTTGTTGCATGATCGACGAGAGCGGTCGTACAACACTCACTTTTGGAATGTCTAAACAAGAGGTTGTACCGGCACTCAGACTTGCCATGCTGCCCATGTCGTCCTTTAATGGATTTGCGTATCTTCTCAAATTCTCTTCGTTCTGGAGATTGTTCGATTTTTCATCTTCGTGATTTCGATGACAAGGGTCCGTCGATTGAGATAAGTTGATGCCGCTCAAACCTAAATTTCTTTGACGTTGTCGGAAATAAAGAATCCCGACCAGTATTGCGGCAGTTAAGCCTATAACGATGAAGCAAATGAGAGCTATCAGATACTTATTACTTGGTGGCTCTTCGGATACTAAGGCCGTTTCCACTTTAACTTCTAAGATGGATTTTAATGCTGTCATTGAGGTTTGTTGTCGAGAAACAGCTTCTCCAAGAATTCTGATTCCTTCTAAAACGCCCTCCTTTCCAGACTGTAACAGAACAACATAGTTAAAAAAAAACTCAATCAGACAATCCAGTAATTCATTACCAATGTAACTTCTATTGTGTCGTTATAATCCGTCTTCAAATCACATAAAAGGACCAGCTCGTTCTCCATGTCATTTGCTGCTTCGTGATTTGCCAAAATTCTCCTCAAGTCATTGCAGAGTCCTTCCACGGTCGTTCCGCCGGGTAGTTTTCCACGTTCAAGGAGAAGAGTCAGTCTTGCGCAAGTATTACTAAGGACTGCCTGGTTGGGCCAACAAGTAACGGGACTTGGTACGACGGGTGGTTTAACACGCTTTCCACTTTCCAAATCTCTGCATTCTCCAAATGGAAGGCAGGGCGGCGTCAAACAGGATTCGGAAGGGGACGGTACGCAAACTTGATTTGAATTGCACACTGTATTCGGAGAGTTAGGAAAGCGACAGTTGGTCAATCCGCACCATATTCTGGTGCATTTCGCCATTCCATTGGTACAAATACAAGTGTTGCATTCGTGTTGCCATGTCGCGTTGTTTTCTAAATTGTGGTTTTGCCAATTACAACCGTCAGGAAGCGGCAGATAGGAAAGATCGTTAACTGATGACAAAAAAGAAATAAAAATTATAATGGTGATTAATAAAAATATTTAAATAAAAACAGTCTTCTTCTTTCAAAATTTATGCATTTTTCTGTTTCTATCATTTTTCAAATGTACAATTCAAATTAAAAACGCCAAATTTTATATCCAAACCCATCAATTTCCAACAAAATGTTTCTTTTTTATAAATGGTTACTACAATAGTCCAGTTGAAATATGATTTTAAAAAAAATAATTCTGCTTACGGTCACATTGAGGTCCTCTTCGTCCTGGAGGGCATTTACAATTAAATTCCCCGATACCATCGATACACGTACCACCGTGGCCGCAAGGATTCGATGCGCATTCGTTTACGTTGATCTTACAGTCGGGACCGGTGAAACCTTTGGCACATTCGCATAAAAACCAGTTAACCCCGTCTATGCATTTGCCTCCGTTGTAACAGGGTTGAGGAATACAATCGTTGACGTCTTCTTGGCAATGATTTCCGGTAAAACCATCCCGACAAATGCATTGATAATAATCACCGGTATTCACGCAGGTACCTCCGTTTTGACAAGGATTCGAACGGCACGCGGCTTGTTTGGAAATGTGGCAAGTAGTACCTAGATATTTTGAGATAGAATTATCGTAAATAATAAAGATGTTGCGCAGCACGTACCTTCCCAGTCCGGAGGACACCTACAAACGAACGTGCTGCCAAGATCTTGACAAGTTCCGCCGTTCTTGCACGTCGAATGATCACAATGGCTGTCTTTGAGAGTGCATGTTTTACCTTTCCAACCGTTTCTGCATTCGCATTCAAAGTCAGCCACGCGATCAGTGCAAGTGCCATTGTTATGACATGGATTTGGATTACAATCGTCCGTATCTAAAATATTTATATATTATAGAAGATTGTAAATATGGTAAAAATAAAAAATTAATTAACTCACTTATATTACAAAGAGCCCCTTCCCAGCCCTCTTTGCAAATGCACTGAAATGCGTTGATCTTATCTACACAGGTACCACCGTTCTCGCATGGATTCTTTTTGCAGTCATTTATATCTGTAATAAAAAGACAAAATTTTGTTTTTTGGACTGGAATTGTTATTATAGAATGCAATTTACTTTCGTGACAATATTTTCCCGTATATCCTGGTAAACAGGCACATCGATATCCCGCTCCTGAAGTGCTTACGCAATGCCCATGCTCTCCGCATATGCTACGAGGCGATACCTTGGTCCCAGCCATGGAAACTATCATGCAATTATCAACTCCTGCAAGGAAATATTAAAATTAATTCGCGTTTCTGGATACAGAAATAATGTAAACGAAATGATAGCGAATTAAATATAAACCCTCGAAAACCAGCGAAAATTGCATGAAAATAGCTGCTGGCCCTGCTGAAGGGCAATCAATTTACTACTTCATATGTCGGTTATGATTTCGAATTTTTTTGCTACACAAGGCAGCAAATGTTTGCGTTTAAATAGTGCGTCATTGTCTTTCCAGCATAAAAAATAGAACAGTACTGTTATCATCGAAGCATTCTTCTTCTTAAGGTGCCATATTTCAATCGGAAGATAGGCGAGAAATGCAGTGTAAAATTTTTTTCAAGCAACTCAACTGTCGTAAACCCTGTCATCTCCGAACCAGGGAAGTTTCCCTTTTCTTGTACAGTTTCCCGTTTCCTTCATAGTGAAAAAACCGTTGGGTACTTCAGTCCCACTAGCTACGAATACTGGGAGACGGGGGATCATATTGGAGTACGCCGGAGGGTAGCGGAGGGAAGCCTTATTCAGCCCCCTTTCAGGAATCGTGGGAATAGGTGGATGATGGTAGGAGTGATAACGATGAGACGAACTAAATAAATATAGTAGAGAAGTGAAAGATTATCTGTAGGATATTATTACAACTTCAACATTAGCCCATGTAATATAAGGAAACCACAGAAAAACATGGATCAGGGCAGACGGACCCAGAATCGAATCGGTGTCCTCCTGAATGCCAAGCAATGATCTAAACCTCTGCGCCAAGCCGCTCTGTTAGTCATACTTCTTACGCCAACATTTACCGAAGCACGATACGAATTGTATCGTACGAACCAACTTGATTTCGTCACCATCCATGAAATGGCCAGAGCGATCGATACCATTTGATCAGGCCGTCTTAACAACCTGGGCGATTGCACTTTTGGAGGGGCAGTTAAACCGGGTACCGATTTACTTTTTTAGGTTGAAGGTTTTGTATTTACTAAAAGAAAAAATTGTTATGCGGTACAGTATTGTCGCAGTTCACGCAATTGAACAAACTCTATCAACGGTGGTGCCGTGGTCGCCATCTGTATATGGTGAGCTGACCATTTCCAACTGTTTAATTTATTTTGTATATAAGCAAAAATATTCTAAACCATCGCTCCTTACTTCGTTATACCCTCGACATTTTTCTAAAAAACAACCTTCATAGTCTTAATTTCGGGGACGATCCTGCGTTTGATAGGTATCCAAGCTAGTCCGTCGTACAATTCCATATCGAAACATTATAAATGGAAACATAACATTTCGTCTATATATCGTAGGGTCGTAACCGCCAGACGATCACGGTTATATTACCATAACCACACCGGCAGAAAAGGACCTTCATTGGTCCAAGAACGGCCTGGGGTAGAGGGTTTTAGTCGGTAGGTCTGAGGACTTCTTCCTCGGAAATCCGACACTACCCAGTCGTACGGACGGCTGGGTGTCTTTTGAGGACCACGAAAACAAAAAAAACATGGCCTATAGTCGTTTTCAGACTTTCACGGTTGACATTGTGAAATCGTTTATTTTTTGGGTTGTTATGCCGTTGTGGATGGCGATTGATTATGTTGTTGCTCGTGGCTGGCACCATATTCAGGGGCAACTGGACCGGTAACACTTTTGCATCAAAAGAATTAGCCAAGTTGCCACTGAGAATCCACAACTAGAGGAACGTTTAACACAGCAAATGGAAAATCCGTATGATTTATAAGGTATAATAAGCAAAGTGCTCGGGACAATTTTAGCAAGGTTACAGTAGGCATTACATTTTCCATAAGATACATCATAAGAAGTTGAAGACCGGGCGTTGTATGGGGTGGTCGAAACGAGAAGTTTTACTACATTATTAACATGTAGGTCGATCGTTACGCATGATATGTGCGAATTAAATATTTTGATGGGTGCAAAAGGTGTCATTGTGTTTGTTGTTCATTGAAAATAACGAGTGGAGGAATGCGCCGACACGGCATAGATACAATGAAACACAACGTTTAAGAGGACTAAACAGAGATCAGATAGGATGTAGTACAAGCGGATATCTAGCATCGGCGTCATTGTAATAAGCTAAATACGTGGGCCGTGTCAGAGACCAACAATGACTTGCAAATTGCAAGAAGCACTCTCCATAGCGAACGAGACAAAGGGAAGAGATCACATCAACTAGAACGCTTTGTTACAACGAAACGACAACGTTTACCAGCTTCTCTTTTTTCTTAACACATTTTCTACAATTTCGTTCTAGTTACATCTCCGTATCATCGTGCTGGCAACGTAATACTAATCGATGGTATTTTGTGCAGAATTCAAAAATATCCAATCGTAATTTTTCTAAACCATGAAATGACTTCAACAAAACATCTTTACAAATAATTTTAATCAAATTATAGCTGTTCAAGTAGATTATTATATTTTTATTTACGTTGCTGTCAACTCTCTGAAATATATATTCAACCATGTTCGTTTTGGGTCTTCCTCTATTTATGTTGTCTAAACATTTTCAGATGTACTTGATTTCATATCGGCTGTTTCTTTCATCATTTAATTAAAACAGCTGAAATGTTTAGGTCACTGTTTTGAAATGAAATGTACTTTTTTACAATAAAGGATAGCACTTGACGTCTTATTGTTGCAACTAATGTGGACAGTGATATTTCAGAGATAATGCGAGCAGTTGTTGCTGCCAGCACGTTTAGTTAAGAATGTCTCAGGATAAAGCTTCTTCAGAAGAAATAAGAAAAGTAATAATTCACTTTCATTCGTAAGGGAATTCTGCCGCGCTAATTGTTTAATTTATTAGGTTTCTTATTTTTATTACTTAAAATTTTGTTTATATTAAACGTTAATGAACAACTTCCAAATTATATTAATTCTGAATCCGTAAAATGTAAGATGAATCTCGTCAGGTTCGAAAGTTGGTTGAAAAGTTGCGTTGTGCGATTATATTGTGCATGAATCTGTTCAAGATGACGCGCTAGTTGACAGGCAATTTCGTGGCACGGTGGGACAAGGCACGATAGGGGGCAACGGTGCCCCGCCGTGCTCGAAATGGAGCTCACCATCAATGCGGTCTCCCAATACCTAGATGATAGTGTGCCGTCTGCCTGTACAGGATTCGATGAGATTGAGGAGAAATTAGGAGAATAAGAGACGGAGACCGTACTGTACGTAAATATTACAAGCGGGTATAGTAATCCACAAAAGATAAGACAAGCCCGACCGGTATTCGCTATGTGCACGTTGACGCCAGCGCCTGAAGTGTCGGTTTCAGAAACTTTACAGTGAATAAATCCAATTACTTAAGAAATTATACACGCTCAAAAAAAATAATTATTTAATACAATTTATTAAGTTTTATCCTGCAAACTATGCGACCATGTCAGAAAGCACTTTGTTCGTGTTCTGTAATTCATTGTTCAAATACAACGCGTAATTCAAGTTTCGAATTTTATTGTTTTCCAATCGCAAATCCACTGTTTCCACACAAATTACAGAGGCGACTAAATTCGTTAGGTGCAGTCCGAAGGCAACAGTATGTATAAGAATTTCGTTATTTTATGAATATATATT